TAAATCTTTACGGGAGCAGAAAGCCTCATCTTTCTCCTACAGAACAGCTGGTAGTTTCAAACTGCTGACTTGAGGTTAACAGCCCAACTCGTAACCACTACACTACCAGAGCTCCTTACATACGTATTGTGTGTGTGTACATATATATATCTGTATACACATATTTGAGGGTAAGTCAAAGCATTTTGCTACAAAAGGAATCTTCATTAAATAAAAACATCAAAATGTGAAGCTATTGGTTTTTGACATACCTTCCATCTGGGTCTGTATTCTTCTGAAGGCAGAATTTCCATCTCTTCATTGTAATGAAGTAAAGAATATGATTTGTTGAATGTAAAACATGATCTGCTCTGTAAACTTAAAATTAAAAAAAAAAAAAATGCCTTCGTTAATTCAGGTGCACTTTAGTCCTCAAAATGACGGCTGTTGAATACTTTAAAGCGGTCTTGTACAGTCGATTTGCCTAATACAATACGTCGTTTGATTTCCTGACTGCTGCTTTCGTGACTACTGATAGTAGATCCAAGCAAAATGAAGTCTTTGACAACTTCAGTCTTGTCTCCATTTCTCATGACCTTATTTATTTGTCCAGTTGTGAGGATTTTTGTTTTCTATATATTGAGGCTTTACTGAAGGCTATGGTTTTTGATCTTCACCAGTAAGTATTTAGGGATGAAAAATTGTCTCTGAGAGGAATGGTGGTGGGATTTGAACAGAGGGCTTATGTATCCTATCTAGGCATGTTGCTTTCTCCGACATTGGCCTGCAGCTGTTGAAACAGTGGTTTTCATGCTGCGTCAATTACTCACCTTACAGAAGAGAACAAAGTCATTTTATAGTGCTGACTCTGTTCTGTTGGTTGTATGTGACCAACTGAGAGCAAAAATGTGGCCCTCAGTTACAACTGCTACTGAGAAAATTCATAGCTGCCCTTTGTCAGTCTCTCCATACTGTGCTTTACATTGCCATGTGGATTAACCTGATTTAACCTTCAGTGGCACCATAATGTGAGTAATGGTAAAGAAACAGGCTTAGAAAGGGGAAGTGACTGGTCTGGGTCACACAGCGTGCAGGCGGCTTTGCCAGGATTGGCCCTCAGGTGTCTGCTTGCTTGCTTCCCCATGTTCACTCAAGTGTATGTCTGAGCATGAACCTTTTCTAAAAGCCTCTGTCTGAAGCAGGGCATCGTCCTGGGGTTGTTTACCAGCGGTTCTTTAGTTTAAAGACTGGAGCATACAAAATGGTTATAATCTCATCAAAGGGAGTGAATTCATTGTGGTCTAGTTCAAGTAAATATCATGACTAGGTACTTTTTTTTTTTTTCACCTCCAGATCGGCCCTGGATTTGGAATATTCCTTACGTCAAAGCACCAGATACACATGGGAACATGTGGGTTCCTTCCTGAGACCCTTACAGAAGCGAGAAGTTCAAGTGCAAGACATTGAGCCCCAAACACTGGATATTTTCTTGTTTTACCTGATGTTCACATCCCTTAAAGCCCTCTGCACCCCTAAGTAACCCTTAGAAAAGGTCACCTGTGACTGGGAGCATTGGTGGTATTTTTAATGGTCATTCTTAACATCTTCACTAAGAAAATGAGATGTGATATTTTCTTTACTCACTTTTGTATCCTGCAGAATGAAAGCTATTAAACTTTGCAATGTTAAAAAATTTAGTTGTAGAATTCTCTTCCTAGAGTACAATCGAATGACGGTGTGAGACATTCTGAATCCAGCCTTGTTTGTGCCCATTAAGCATCCACTTTCCATAGGGAAAAGATACTCTTCGTTCAGCCAGAACTTTCCACAGAATCTGATCACAGGCTGTTTCGCCAAGCCCCTCCTTTAGCTTTCTGAGCTTGTGGGGGTTGTGGGATGTCTGTTTGCAGGCATTCCTTGGATGTGGCCTTGCAGTGGGGGTGCAGAATTGGATTATCCTCCTTGACCCTGGTTACTCGGCAGCTCTCTCTGTAGCCTTTTGCATACTCACACAGACCACCTGCCAGTTCCTCACCTGTTCCCCCCCATGGATGCATAACTCTCATCCTCAGAAATTTCCACAGAAGTCAGGTCTGTTAGAATCACACCAAAGCACACAGGTGTATTTTCCTTGGAAGAAATCCTAAAAGGGGCCCTCACTCTATTCACAGGTGAGGAAACCGAGGCCCAGAATTAGTCGGGGGATGCCCCTGAGTCACACAACCAGCCTGGTTAGAGTCATTTTTCATACTGTTCAAAGTCGTAGGCTTCCCAGAGGTACCTCAGCAGCCTTGAAAAGGGGTTAGGTTGGGTGCTGGGTCAAAAGACACAGAAGAGAATGAAAAACAAGACTCTAGGCCCTCTGCCTCCTCTCCCACGGGCTGCATTCATCAGAGAAGCTGCTGTATCTCATTCGTACTTGAGATTCTATAATGGTATTGTCTGGTTTTGTTGTTTTGCTGTTAAAAAAGAAAAGTCGCCAAACCAAACTACTGCATTAATTTAACCAATTCATATTATAGGTTAGAAAACGAAACCATCAGCCTTCTCTTTGCCAAAACATTCAACGCAACAGCCAATGAACACAGCTGCCGTAGAAGGAAACTGGAAGGGCCCCATGGGCTGGCAGAGGCTGCCCTGCTGTCTGAGCTCTGTGTCCCGTCCTGATTGGGGGCAGGGGTATGTGTAGGGGATTGGCAACAGTAACTTCTGGGCTATGCCTGGCAAGCCTCTCTGTCCAAGGGGGCAGCAGCGTCCTGCCAGCTGGAGAGCTGGCTCCACACCAGGAGGCAGGCGGGCAGAGGTGTGTCAGCACTGAGACTGGGATCCAAGCTCTACACCTAATGGGCTGTATCATTTACACCAGATGGTTTCACTTCTGTGTGCTTTGGTCCCGTCACATGTCAGGTGAGATAAGTACTATGTAAGGGAACACATTCGGCTTGGCTGGGGCTGCAGTAATGCCATATTGGGCGTATCTTCATTTTACACATCAGGGAACATGGCCTCCAAAGGACAAGGTGCTTGTCCAGTACTGGAACCCAGCTCTGCAGCGTCAAAGTCTGTCCTCGTAACCACTACCTCTACTACCAGGTGGATCACACTCTAAGCTTTGAGGAATTGGGGCTGTTGGACAGAAACTTCTAGAATACAAAATTGGTGTGTTTCTGTCACCAGGCTGCCAAATTGCTGTGGACATTTCCAAGGGCTTCCTCGTACTTTCTGTAGCTCTCACCAACTGCCATGACCCACGGACCACATCTGGACAGCCACTACTCTAGGCCCATGGGGACCAGGAGGGCCACTTGTTTATTCCTTCCTTCCTTCTACTTCTTTTTGGGTTTGTTCTTGTTTCTTTCTGTAGCTCCTTCAGGTCAAAGGCTAGGTCACTGATTGTAGACCTTTCTTTTCAAATGAAAGCATTTTTGCTATTAGGTGCCTTTGAGTAGTCAACGACTCAGAACAACCTAATGCGCAACAGAACAGAACACCACCTGGTCCTGTGCCATCCTTACAATTACAGCCCTGCTTAAGCCCATTCCTTCTGCCATTATGCAATCCATCTCCACGGGGGTTTTCTTCTTTTGCACTAACCGTCCACTTTACCAAGTATGATGTCCTTCTCCAGGGACTAGTCCCTCCTGATAATATATCCAAAGCATGAAAGACGAAGTCTCATCATCCTGGCTGAAGGAACATTCTGGCTGTGCTTCTTCCAACACAGGTTTTTGGAAGTCCATGGTATTTTCACAGCTATGCATTTTAAGTGGAGGCATGCCACAAATTTTAATAGATTGTATTTTCCTATCATTTAGTTCAAAATGTGCTAATCTTTTTCTTCTTTGACATATGATTTATTTACTTAGAAGTAAGTAACTTAATTTCCAAATATCTGGTTTTGCCCCTGTACAAATCATTTATTTCTAACTTATTTCCAGTGTGGTCTGAGAGCCATACTTGGTATGATTCAACCCTTATAAATGTATTCAGAGTTATTTTATGGTCAACATATGCAGCGGTTACAAATCGGGCTGCGAACATCAAGGTCAGCAGTTTGAAACTACCAGCCACTCCGCAGGAAAAAGATGAAGCTCTCTGCTCCCTTAAAGATTTACAGCCTCGGAAACCCTGTACAGGGTCGCTGTGAGTCGGAACCAACTCCGTGGCACATAACAACAACAAAAACAACATGAAAAAAAAATAACGTGAATAGGAGTCCTGATGTGGCACTGTGGATTAAAGCACCAGATGGCAAAGCCGTTTGAACTGCAAGGTCGGCGGTTCAAACTCACAAGCTGCTCCTTGGAAACCCTACACAGGGTCACTATGGGTTGGAGCCAACTCAATGGCACTAGACAATAACAACAATACAGCATGAATATACCATGTGCACTTGGAAAGACAGTATTGAGTAAAATCATGGAGTGCACTGTTCTACAAATACCAACTGGGTCAAGGGAATGTAAGTGTTACTCGTTTCTTTCTATGTCTTCGCTGATATTTGTCTAGTTAGGCTACCAGTTGGTGAGAGAGGAGTATTAAAATCAACTATGATTCTAGAATTGTCTATTTCTGATAGCCTTGGAGGCGGGGCTTGATGGCGGCTAGGGTGGAGGTGCAGTGAAGTTCACCATCAGCCATACCACAGAATACCAGGCAAAGCAGATCCAGGGCAGAGCTCCAAAACTCAGAACCACAGAGCTAGGAATATTTTAAAAGTTTAAACAATACATAGCTAGTGGAACTTGAAGCTGAAGTAAGAAATCACGTACTTTTGAATATGCCCAGTTCGGAGGCTTGGAGCCGACATCTTGGGTGAGACCAAACGGCAAGGCCAAGCGGGGTAGCAGAAACACCACGAAAAACGCCACAGGAGCCTTGGAGCAAAGGTGGACAATACATTTTGTAAGTTTTGCTTTGTTCTGATTTTCTTTTATCTTGGTATCTGGTCATTGGCGCCCCCACTGTTTGCGCACCTCCATTCTGGTGATGGGGGTGGGGAGGTGGGTGCCTGAGTGAGTGAACACCCTGCACCCTTACTACTGGTGGGTTCTTCTGCCACGCATGTTCACAGATACTCAGGACAGGGCTGTAGAGAGGGAAAGAGAGTTTAAAAACAAAACAGGCCAAAAATTAAATTAAAGCCTGACGTATAGCATTACAACCAACACTGGCATCTTGAAATCTCTCAGGCAGCTTTGAAAGCAAGAAGCTGAAGAGAGGATGTTAAAGTTATACTCATATTAGGCTACAGATTTTTTTCTTCTTCTTCTCTCCCTTCTCTCCCTTTTCTGTGATTAGAGACTGCAGTATTCAGCCTAGGTTTTTTTGTTTTGTTTTGTTTTTTCTTGCTAGTGCTGTTTTGTTGTTATATGCTCCCCCTTCTACCTTTGGAGAACTCTTTCCATATATTTCACAAGAAGAGTCAGCAACTGCTGCCATATAGTCAAGCTACAATCACACTCTATAAAACACCAAAACCCAGGCAAGAACCAGTACCAACTTCCATATACCAGGGAGGCAGATAACACCTGTAAAAGTTACTCTGAGTTAAGCAATAAGTAGAGTGAAAAGGGAAGCCCACATCCTGATCACATCTTCCTGGAAGCAATCAGAAAGTATTAAAAAATACCAAAACACATACTCAGTTAAGTATTAAGGCAACATATAAATACTAAACATGTCCAAGAAGCAAAAGCAGATGACCATATCAGCACATGTCCAGAAACAAGATAAAATGTCTGAGACAAATGACCTAGAGGTAGACGTGGACTCCATTCTGGAAGGAGGGCAGGCCTTGGAAATGCTTGAGGTGGA